TGACAAAAAACCGCAAGCGACTAAAACGTGACGCTTGAGTAACCGTACAGGACTAAAACGTGACCCTAGACAGCCCAGAGTAACCGTTTCCTTCTTTGATTTCCTTCGCTTAGATTATGCAGTGCACGGAGTATTCTAAAATTTGACTAAACCTTACTTTTGCTGCTCTGAATCTTACATTTATTAGAGGTCAGAAAGCTTTCTCACCCGGGGAGGGTACCCGCATACTGATGGGCCATATAGAAACGTGCCGCGGAATAGGGTCTGGTTTTTGCGGTTCTCGGTCCTTAAATAGGGTATATTTTTTACCCTTTTGTTTCTGTGTCCATGGTGTGGTCCTTACATAGGGCAGCTTAATTGTATTATCTAAACTGGAGTGTGAAAACGCCCGCCTAAACGCACGGTTTTTTTTTAAACTTGATGTATCCATTTAAGTATTGTAACAAAATGATTTTGCAACAGAGGCTTAATAGCCGTTAAGCGGGTAAATACACGTAACGCCTCTTATAGGGTGTCATTTTTCAGCTCTGGGCCTTAAAAAGAGTATCAGTTTTCGCTTTCTTAGTCCTTAAATAGGGTTAGGGTTCACGAACCTTCGCGGCACGCCCCTATCCAAAATTCGCGGGAGTACCCCCCCGGGCTTTCTCAGTGCTTCATGCATAAAATATCAGTTTACCTTGCGATAAACCTAGAGGTCAGAAAGCTTTCTCAGGCGTTTGCGGCCAATGATCCCCTGAGAAACCACAATGGACTCGTGTATAATTTCTTGGTACTTCAACATTTTGGTGCGTCCAAGTACCGCAAGGTAAACTGAGTTTTCCCAATCTGCATGAAACACTGAGAAAGTTTTCTGACCTCTAATAAATGTAAGATTCAGAGCAGCAAAAGTAAGGTTTAGTGTTGGGGGGTTTTACCAACTCGCTTGGACCAATTAACGAATGGTACCAAGACTCTGTACTTTTCTTATTTATTCTCTTCTGGAGAGCTACTACAGCAACGCTCTATGCATCTAATAATAATCATCCTCATCATGCTCGAGCGCGGAGGAACCAACGCTTCAAGTAGGAAAATCGTAGACCTGTTTGGGTTAGCTGACCGTTAGAGTTTCCGCAGTGTATTCGTTGTTTTGCAAAGGGGGAAATTGGTTGGCCCTCACCGAAGTACTTGGCGAGCACTAAGGAACCAATTAAACGCCCATGATCGTGTTGCGCATGAGAATCACGCGCACCAAGCAGGATCCTAGTGTGGGTAAAACTCAAGGTCAGTTTAACCAACCCAAACATGACCACCTATGAAACTAATTATTCTCAACCATAACAAGCGATTAAAATGTCTAGCACGGTAAGAAGGAAAACCGCGAACTGAGCCAAGTTCAAGCACACACTAAAAATTAAAGATCAAAACTATAGATCTACCAAAACAACACGTAGACGCAAAAAGGCAAGACTTAACTAAACAAAAGGTAAACCTAAAAATACTCAAAATAGCTACCGTTTAAAATACTCTACAACATTAGTCAAATTTTAGAATACTCTATGCACTGCATAATCTTAGCGAAGGAAATCAAAGAAGGAAACGGTTACTCTGGGCCGTCCAGGGTCACGTTTTAGTCCTGTACGGTTACTTAAGCGTCACGATTTAGTCGCTTGCGGTTTTTTTGTCAGCACAGTTTATTTCACAACTGTCACTTTTCCCGTAAATAAAACAAGCATCTAGTAAAACATGGATTGGATCCATGTTTTACTAATCCAATCCATGTTTTACTAGATGCCGTTCGAGAGAACTTCTTTGGTGGCAGTGAGATAGCGGGAATACACGTGGATTGTAATGTCTGTTGCCGTTCCTTCGAAAGTTAAAAAATTTGATGAGCCTGCGCGACTCCTGTCATTCTTCCGTGACGAATTCATTCTAAGGAGGCAACCGAACTCGTTAAGAAATATTCGAAACTGCAGTCTGCCTAAGAATCTCGACAGAAATGGCAACAGTTACTCTCACAGCCGATGGCGGGATGAATAATATCGAAGTCAGAAATTATATTCCCAGACGCGAGTTACTTAACGGGGAATTGACCCTCGACGTGCAAACGCATATTAAAGAGACAGAGACTTTCTCACACACGAACTTTTTCCACCAAGCGTAAATACGGCATTTGTAAAAAGGAGAAGCCCCACGCCTCCTAAGAACGAATTTGTCTCACTCCACGTTGAGTAAAAACGTACAGTTTCAAAATACGCTTCGAGAATAGAGGAAGCCTAGATGAGGGTTTTGAGAAACATATCTCTGGAGTTATTTCTGCAGGAGAGTAAGTATATTTTAAAACAGAGGAAATAGCGCGCGCACAGAAGAAAATATTACCTTTGGTAACACAATCTCATCCGGCTTTGCCAAACCTCAAGAACATACAGATGGGGAAATGACACCTTAAAACTGGCCGTTATTATCAAATCGCTAAGGAAAGTCCTCAAGAGATATCCTTATAACGGCTAAACTTTGAGGGTAG